AACCAAATACCTATGATTTGGACATTTAAGTTGTTTATAATTTTTCACTATTATAAATAACATACTGATGAATGGGCAAAGTTTATTCCATGTGTTATACAGAATTCTAGAAGTGGGTCACTGAGTCCGAAGGAATGAACACTTTGGAGGTGCTTAATACTTATCCACTTTACAAGGTGGCTGGGGTATCAGCCTGTACCCAGAAAAGAGTGACACGTCTGGCTTTTATGGGCATGAACCAAGTTCCCACTCCTCAGTGAACTTAGGCTGGTGGGTCTGCAGCTGGGGCTGGCATCAGAGTCACGCAGAGGGCATGTTGAAGGCGTTCAGAACAGGCTCCCCAAGATGAGCCACTCTGACATGTGAATTATTTTGAGCTGAAGGCAATCAAGATGCTGTGGGCTCATAAGGAATTTTTATCTCTCTCAAATTTAAATTTGGGGCTTTGCCCATAATAAGAGTTATTGTCAGAAATAACTTTTTATGACCTGTTTACAGGGCAGGGCAAACTTCTAATTACTGAATCTCTGCTCTATCATCTTGCAGTGACTTCCTCCCCTCTGAAGCTCCAAGACACCTTGCCTCATCTTTGTCTCTGACTGCCATATGTACCCCATCTCCCTTTCTGTCTCTGAGCCTCTCATGCATGTGGTGTCTCTGACTCTCATGTCTGTGGGGTTTCTATATGTAATTAAATTTGGTATTTTCTGTTGCTGATCTGACTTAGGTCGATTTGATTATTACACCAGCTGGCAGAACCAAGAAGGGTAGAGGAAAATTTCTTCCTCCTCAGCAGTGTCAAACCCAACTGGCCCCAGAGTTTCTGAGCCAGCGGCCAGCGGTGGGGCCTGACACTATGCATTTATAACAAGGCCCTAAGTGACCCCGACACTGCTGGTCCAGGGACCACACTGAACCCTCACTCGAGCCATTATTAGTTTTTCCCTTTCCCACCATCTCTCTATTAAAGATGGAAGACAATGAACAGGTGGTCCTCAAAATCCATATTCTTTGCCCAGAGCCCCCCAAATTGAGGCAGGAAATTTTTGAAATTGCTATTTTTATCAAAGTATATATGTTCTTGGTTTAAAGAATTGAAAAGGGCCCTGACTGGTTTGGCTCAGTGGGTAGAGCGTCGGCCTGCGGACTGAAGGGTCCCGGGTTCGATTCCGGTCAAAAGCATGTACCTTGGTTGCAGGCGCATCGCATCCCCAGTGGGGAGTGTGCAGAAGGCGGCTGATCGATGTTTCTCTCTCATTGATGTTTCTAACTCTCTACCCCTCTCCCTTCCTCTCTGTAAAAAAATCAATAAAATATATTTTTAAAAAAAGAATTACAAAGGACTACGAGGCTTATAATAATAATAATAACTAAAAAGCAGTCTCCTGCCCTCACTTCTGCATCCTTCAACTCAATAACTGTTCCTCTTATAATGTACTCTCTTGCTTTTAACAATAATCTACTATTTTTTAAATTTATCCACATGAAGCATCATTTATTGACTCCTGATGACAGAAGATAAGGATATAAAAGTTCTTCATCCATTACCTCTATCCTACCATTAGAGCTTTTCACAGTTTTTGGTTAAATCATAGTCAACGCAAACATCATTTATCTATGTAAATATTGTTTATTACTGAGCCAAGTGGTGTACAATATTTTCCAATATTTAGCTATTTATTTTTCATGGAGTAATTTTTCATTTACTTATTTGTTTTATATTGCTGTACTAATTCTCCCAAATTGTCCAACAGAACTGGAAAATTCTCCAATGCTATTTCCCAAACCATCAAATTCAACACCACATCTATTAGTTCCCACCTGTTTGTTTTCTTCCTGTTGTATTAGTTTCCTAGGGCTGTTGTAACAAACTGCCACAAACTTGGAGGTGTAAAACAACAGGAGTTTATTCTCTCACAGTTCTGGAGACCAGAAGTTCTCAGACACCAAGGTTTCACCAAGGATTCCTCCTGAGGGCTCTGAGGAACGACACGCTCCACCCCTCTCTCCTAGCTCCTGGGGATTGCTCGCATCCTTGGTGTTCACTGGCTTGTAGCAGCATTATTCCAGTTTCTGCCTCCATCATTACATGGTCTTCTTCCCTCGATGTTTCCTCTCTTTCTGTGTCTCTTGTGGTCTTCATATAAGGATGCCAGTCATGTTGGATCAAGGTCCCAATATGATTGACATTCTTATAAGGTTGACCTCATTTTACATAATTACACCTGTAAAGACCCTCTTTCCAAATAGGTTCTAAGGTTCTGAGTAGATATGAGTTTTGAGAGCACACTATTCAACCAAATACACTCACTGTTAAAGAACAAAATTCAATGGATTCAAAATGGGAGGTTTTTATAGGCAGAAAGAAGGTGGGCAAGAACGTTAAGAGTGGATTATTTCAGGCAAGGTCGCCTTCTCTTGGGGCAGGGATGGGGAACCTTTTTCCTGCCAAGGGCCATTTGGATATTTAGAACATCATTCATGGGCCATACAAAATTATCAATTTAAAAATTAGCCTGCTCTATTTGGTCAAACATTTAATTAACTCACCCCTAATGCCTGGGCAGGGTCAGACCCTATGATTTTGGGCCATATATACCCCACCCCACAGGTCTTATCAGGCAGATGACCTCACTAGTGCTGACCAGGGAATTTCAGATTGACTGGCTTAAAATTTCACTTGTGGGAGAGGCTGACACTGTAATTAGGTTAGGAATTAAGTCTTGGTGGGGCCTAGCAAAAGGGACTCCATTTTAGGTCTGTTCTGTCTTTTTAATTTCACCAATGTTCTTTCTAGAGACTTCTGCCTTCCTGCTCTATTTGGGCTGTTTTTTCCCTAGATTTGCTCAACCCCCTTAACTTTTATGCTGAGAATCTCCTTCATTTTCCTCCACAACTTTTATCCCTTTATTTCTTGTATCCCTCTCTTTGGTTTACTCTCTGGTTGTGTTGGAGCACACAGCCTCCAGTATCTGCCTAAGAAAGAGTTCATGGGGAAAAAAAGAAAGAAAGAGTTCATGGAAAGTATATTTTTTTTGCATTGCATATCTGATAATATCTTTGTTTAATTTTCACACCTAATTTGTAGTTTTACTGAACATAGAAATTAGATTGAAAGATCATTTTCACCCAGAATTTTCAAGGCTTCTGTTTTGGCATCTGATGTTAGGGACATACCATGTCATTCGTTTCTTGAGCTTTTTTATACATCTTTCTCTATCAGAGCTGAGGGATCATCTCTCTGTAGGACCAGACCTCCAGCAGCTGGTCCTACCTGCTCAGCTGTCACCTCTACCCCAGGCAGGAGACTGAAGGGTTCTTCTCTGGAGGTGAATGGATTCAAAATGGACGGTTTTTATAGGCAGAAAGAAGGTGGGCAAGAACGTTAAGAGTGGATTATTTCAGACAAGGTCACCTTCTCTTGGGGCAGGGATGGGGAACCTTTTTCAAAGTGTCACAGGGAGGTGTTCATCCTTTTTGCTGGCATCTGGTGGCTCTTTCGTCTGGAAACTCACATCCTTCATTTCTTAAGCAGTATTCTTACATTATCTATTGACTGTTTTTTCCCCTCTGGTTTTTATCCTCTTCCTGACACTTTTAATCCGAGAATGCATATCCTGGAATCAACCTCTAATTTTCTCATTGTTTCTTTCTACTTTTAATTTTGAAACTCACATCCTTCATTTCTTAAGCAGTATTCTTACCTTATCTATTTGACCGTTTTTTCCTCTCTGGTTTTTATCCTCTTACTGACACTTTTAATCCAAGAATGCATATCCTGGAATCAACCTCTCATTTTCTCATTGTTTCTTCCTACTTTTAATTTCGCTCTTTGTGTCCTGCTTTCTGGGCAATTCCTAGTCTTTATCTTCCAACCCATCTATGAATTTTAAAAAAATTTTGGTTATCCTATATTTCATTTCTGAGCCCTCTTCCTTGTTCTCCGCATGCTCCCGCTTTCAGCATCCTGTTTGTGTCTTGCAGATGTAATCTTTTATCTCTCTGATGATATTCCTGAGGTTTCTTTGTTCAACTTCCTCCTGCCTCCTGTATGGTCTGTTTCCTCTGAGTTCCTTTTCTCTGATTGTTTTGGTCCTTGTCTTTTATGTCACCGGCTTTCCTCAGATGCCAGTGGCCTTGACTTTTCATATGTAAGCACGAGTCACTTCAGAGCTGACTGAACGCGGTTGTCGGGGGGCATATGTCTCTAAGGAGACTGGGCTAGGAGTGGCCACTGTACTGGAGGGTTGCCAGCATCACTCTCCATAGGCCCTTTGTCTGTGGCTATTTGGTTCCTCAGTCTCCTGCCTGGGGTAGAGGTGACAGCTGAGCAGGTAGGACCAGCTGCTGGAGGTCTGACACGGAGCAGCCCAGGGTGGGGCTCTTACATGCAGCACCTAGACAAGCATGTCCACTCGAAATAGCACCTGAGCCACACACGTAACGTAAAATTCTCTAGTAGCCACAGTAAACACAGTAAAAAGAAATACACAAAATTAATGTTAATAATATGTTTCCTTTCAACCCAATACAACCAAAATATTATTATTTTAACATATAATTAATATAAAAACTGTTAATAACATATTTTACCTTCTTTGGTTTGTACTAAATCTTCAAACTCTGGTATCTATCTTGCACCTCCGGCACCAACACATCTCCATGGGGACCAGCCACACATCAAGCTCTCAATGGCCACGTGTGGTGAGAGGCCACTGTCCTGGACCACACAGGTGTCGGCCATCACTTTGTCCCCTCTCTTCTCTGAGAGGCCCTCCAGGGTCTGGCTCAGGCTCCTGGGGGACCGCAAGCCCCTCGTGGCTTCAGGATCCGTCTGATCCTGCCCGTTCCTGGGACACCCCTGGTACCCGCAAGCCTGAGCCTGCACATCGGTGCAAGACGGATTGCCAAGCGTGTTTCCACGGCACCTGCTCCTACCGGGGCTGGGTGCCTGATTGTCCTGTTCTTCATACGGGCCCCCCTTTGTTTCCCACCCTCAGGTTCCCCGGCCATTTTCGTTGCTTCGTGGGCTCTCACCAGGCACTTTCTGGAGGATGCTGGGTAAGCTGTTTGAAGGAGAGGCAACGAGAGTGCACTTCATATCGTCCAGGTCTTCAGGCAGGGTGGGCATTTCTTGGAACTTTCTAGGCGAGGCCTGTTCCTCACACTGGGGCCACAGGGGTCCCGCAGTGCCAGGCTGCCAGGGCCCCGCCCTCAAGGCCCCCTCCCTGCCTGCCAGCCCAGCAGCTCTGTGCTTGGGTCCGTGCCAGACAAGAGCTTCACCACTGCCGGCAGGTGCTGCCCAGGGAGGAAGCTGTAAGGGCCAGCGCCGCTTTTCCTCCCTCCTGGGCTCCCTCCGCTCCTTCCTCTGTATCCTGGGGGACCGCAAGCCCCTCGTGGCTTCAGGATCCATCTGATCCTGCCCGTTCCCGGGACACCCCTGGTACCCGCAAGCCTGAGGCTGCACATCGGTGCAGGACGGATTGCCAAGCGTGTTTCCACGGCACCTGCTCCTACCGGGGCTGGGTGCCTGATTGTCCTGTTCTTCATACGGGCCCCCCTTTGTTTCCCACCCTCAGGTTCCCCGGCCATTTTCGTTGCTTCGTGGGCTCTCACCAGGCACTTTCTGGAGGATGCTGGGTAAGCTGTTTGAAGGAGAGGCAACGAGAGTGCACTTCATATCGTCCAGGTCTTCAGGCAGGGTGGGCATTTCTTGGAACTTTCTAGGCGAGGCCTGTTCCTCACACTGGGGCCACAGGGGTCCCGCAGTGCCAGGCTGCCAGGGCCCCGCCCTCAAGGCCCCTCCCTGCCTGCCAGCCCAGCAGCTCTGTGCTTGGGTCCGTGCCAGACAAGAGCTTCACCACTGCCGGCAGGTGCTGCCCAGGGAGGAAGCTGTAAGGGCTAAAACCGCTTTCCTTCCTCCTGGGCTCTCTCCGCTCCTCCCTCTCTCTTACTCCACCTGGGAGAGTCCTCCGCAGCTCCTGCTGGGGACAAGGAGACCGCGTCCTGTTCTCTGAAGGTGGGAGGCACCGGGAGGGAGATGAGCCCGCGGCTTGGCCTTCGGGACGAGGCACAGGAAAGGAAGCTTGACAGGAGCCAGGGAGGAGGCGAGGCGGCGGGGCAAGGCAGGCCGGTCACTGTCACAGCGACACCCAGGCCAGCACGTAGACCAGGTCGGCTGGGCTTACAAGTGTCTTGTGCCGGCAGGTGCTGCCCAGGGAGGAAGCTGTAAGGGCTAAAACCGCTTTCCTTCCTCCTGGGCTCTCTCCGCTCCTCCCTCTCTCTTACTCCACCTGGGAGAGTCCTCCGCAGCTCCTGCTGGGGACAAGGAGACCGCGTCCTGTTCTCTGAAGGTGGGAGGCACCGGGAGGGAGATGAGCCCGCGGCTTGGCCTTCGGGACGAGGCACAGGAAAGGAAGCTTGACAGGAGCCAGGGAGGAGGCGAGGCGGCGGGACAAGGCAGGCCGGTCCTCACTGTCACAGCGACACCCAGGCCAGCACATGGACCAGGTCGGCTGGGCTTACAAGTGTCTTACAGTCCAAAATCGGCCCCAAATAGTGGTTTCAAAATACATTTTTTATTGGGTAGATTCACTAAAAAAATCTGGATTTTAAGCTTCTCTAGAAAAAATAGGAAGTTCTATTAACATTTCCACTTCCTTTTATGGCAAACCAGCTGGAACAGTGTGGCTGCCTTAGACCAGGCACATCCCCTCCAGTTTGCCAAGTACCCGCCACACCGACATCCCTGGGGTCCTAGGTCACATGTCAGTCACCCAGACCCTTCACTCACGCATGTCACCTGCCTGGCTACTGTTGGCAGTGGAGTTTTAAGATCTGGAACCTCTGGCTCCCAGTTCCACACCCGTCTGCTCCCCTAACACTGACCAGGCATGCGTGGAGACGGCACTAATGCCTCAGCCCCAGCAGTGCTCCCGGGCAGCAGGAGAGGGGCAGCAGGAGAAGCAGCAGGAGGGGCAGCAGGAGGGGCAGCAGGAG